GTTTTTTCTGCAATATTTTGCTGCTTTTTTCTTGGATTTTCTGCTTGCACTCAGTCACATATTCACTTTAAGATGTTTTTTGTTCATGTTTTTGTTGTTTGTTGCGGTTGCACCCGATTCAAGAGCCGAATGGCTCACAGGGCTATACCTAATAAATGAACTTGAAATGAACTTGAACTTGAACAACAACACACCCAGCCACTCACTCACCACAATGCAGGTCACAACAACACACTCACCCACTCACCACACTGCAGGTCACAACAACTACACTCACCCACTCAACCACCACACTGCAGGTCACAACAACTCACACACTCAACCACCACACTGCAGGTCACAACAACTACACTCACCCACTCAACCACCACACTGCAGGTCACAACAACTACACTCACCCACTCAACCACCACACAGCAGGTCACAACAACTACACTCACCCACTCAACCACCACACTGCAGGTCACAACAACTACACTCACCCACTCAACCACCACACTGCAGGTCACAACAACTACACTCATCCACTCAACCACCACACTGCAGGTCACAACAACACTCAGCCACTCACTCGCCACAGTGCAGGCCATCAACAACACACTCAGCACTCACCCACTACTCTGCAGGTCACAACAACACACTCACCCAACACACTGCAGGTCACAACAACACACTCACCCACCCACTCACCACAATACAGGTCACAACAACACACTCAGTCACTCTCCCATTCACCACCACCACCTTTGCGGGTCACAATAACAAAGACCCCTCGTATAGCTCCCACAGACTGTCGTGGGCGAGAGTTGTTAGCGAGTCGCACCTATGAAGGCCGGCACGGCACACGAGGGCTGATGATGATGCTGATGATGATGCTGATGATGATGGTGGTGTCCAGCACCGTCGCTGACGTTGGCCGCTCCACCACCGCTCCCCACAACAACACGGCAACTCACCACGCCACACGTCCCACTTATCTTTTAGCCTTTTTCCTCCTTGCACTGCTCCACCTGGGAATTCCCTCCCATCGTCTCCTTTTGCCAAGTTCAGTAATAACCTTTCTCAACAACGGCGTGAACTCTTCATCTATTACTACGCTCACGGTGCTGCTAGTAGCTGGCTAGGCGATTGAGCCCTTTGGACACTGTGCTCAGCAACCGTGATATTAAAGACACTCGAAGTGAGAGTCTCGCTAAACCCACTATATATATTTGGTTATGAGATCATGAATCTCTGACCAAAACAATTATTCTCGCTTTCTTAATGAGAAGAAGCGAGTCGATAATTAGATCTATCTATTGATATAGACTGAACGGATCGCTTAACAAGCGAGGAGCATCATCCAAAAAAAACTATTCGGAACTTCAAAGGATTGGATGTTGGAGTGCGTTCAGATATCGACCGTAATCTCAGGATTATTAGGCGCTCCAGAAAGAAAAACGCGTCCACGAACTTGTGTCCTGTGTCAATAAAGTTACGCAAATCTGAACACAAAAGACAAACGCACACCGACAGGATTATGATGATGATGGTGCTGGTGGTGGTGGCCGTGAGCGGGAATCGAACTCGGGTCGCCGGGTTCGTAACGTTGCGCACTAACCGCTACAACATTTTCATAGATGGGGGAGGAGAGTGCGTCTCATACGACCTGTCGTCCCAATGGAGCCAGATTTCCGCAGAATTTATATGGCCTCTTGTGTTGTTTTTCTTTCTCAGTTATCCTCCCATTGTGCTACTGGTGTCAAGCTATGACGAGCAGTCAAGGACTGGAAGCACCACTGCCTTCAATTATAATCGATGCCTTAATGCACGACTCAAGGCCAACTTATGTCTGTACCAACATTCCAGATTATGCCTTAGATTAAGATTAACGTAAGATAATAAAAAATGTAGCTTCTCAATCCATGAGCCTGGGTAGTTAAATGTATTGACCCTATAAAATTGGATACCGTTGTTCAGCTTAATGGACACTTCATTATGAACAGACCGATTGAAAAAACACATGTATACTGTACTGGTTCTAATAATGGGTTTTCCCCTTTTGTCTGGCATGAAAACTGAAACATTTTACAAGGATTCATGTCTGCATTAACCACAATACTTGCAGTCAAAAGGCAAAAAACCACTATGATAATATATGCATTGTCCTTGAAACTGATTGGTCCACACCAAGGGACGGCTTTTTTTTAGCCTCGACCCAATTGGTGCTCGACAATGCATATATTATCATAGTGTGTTTTTTGTTTGCATTTTGACTGCAAGTATTGTGGTGAATGCAGACATGAATCCTTGTAAAAAAGGTTTCAGTTTTGTTGCCAGAAAAAAAGGGGAAAACCCCTATTATTATATTTTGGTACTGGCAAAGCAGGTCTAATGATGTACTGGTTCTTTCTTAGAATTGATCGATTTTTGACGATTAAATCGATCCTCAATTATATATTTTCAAAAACTAATTCTGAAGGCGTGCCCTCCACTCGGCTGGGTTTGGACCCACAAGTGTACAACACAGTGTCATCCGCACACCAGCGCAGTTTGCGTCACTGAACGACATATTAAGTCCTCGATATAAATGTTCAAAGGGAGAGGGTGGTCCAAAGTGGAGTCCTGAGTCACACCACTCTGCAACAAGCGGCGAACACGCAACCACAAGGCCACGTCACCCGTCACAAAATGTGATGGCCGAGCTGAGACCATGAACCGCACGACCCTTAAGAAGCGGGTCTAATCACGGGCGATGCGGTCTGCTCAGAGCTGCATCTCAACATCGCACGGAAGATTGCGGCTATTGCAGCGGGCGGAAGATGAACACGGAAGATGAACACGGAAGATGAACACGGAAGATGAACATCAGCCCCCATTGTTTTCTGTGGATTTCAAAGGAACGCACGCGGGAGAACGCTTCGTCCAACAATGCCCCACTCTGCTCTTTTGCCGGCATCTTCTCTCAGCGGTGCCTGTTCATGGTCGTTGACATCGTGGTCATCAGCCGTTCACGCGATTGATTTGTGAATACTTTAATGTGTTCACCCAACGATGATTAAGAAACGTAACACGTTTGAACCACACGTATAAACCGTAACACTTTTTTTTTTACAAATACTTGTAGGTAGTGTTTCAACAATAATTAACAAATCTGAAAACGACTTTCTCTGCTTTTAAAAGGGCAGCGGCGATGTTTGTAAATATAGCGCAGTCGGGGATTGCCACGACTCCAGTCCTCGCGGCCCACTACGTTTCGCGCCTTTCCATCCCCCATTCAAGTAAAATTAATTCATATTCTTAGGTTTTTTCGGTAAAGTCACGTAGCTAAAACAATTTAATTAATAAAAGTAAAATTAAAATTAAATTAAAATCACGACGTTTCGGAGGCAACACAAGCTTCCGTCTTCAGGTGGAACCGTCACAGCACGACTGCTGCATCAAGTAAGATAAATTCCAAGAAAACAGTCATTTTTATTTTACTTTTATTAATTTTAATTTTTTACCTACGTGACTTTACCGAAAAAACCTAAGAATATGAATCCTTGCAGTCACGAAAGCTTCAAATCTAGAATTAAAATTAATTCGTTACGCGCTGCACGCGCCTGATGATTGCTCAACGCGTTCCACGTGTCTCTTGGTTCATATTGAGAGCGCCCTCTGCACTCGCGCGGGACGCTCGCACGGACACGTGCACACTGCACACGATCTCTCTATATTTGGATCCGCTTTCTCTGCGCCACGTTCGTTTTAACAGCTGACTTTGTATATTAACGGAGGTGAATTGCTAAACTTGGGCACTAATCCCATGCCAATTTAAACACTGGTCACGAGAAAACATCTTAAAATTATCATTCTCATCAGGCCCTATTGTGTTAAGAGCAGTCTCCAACTCTTACCAACTCTCTCTGTCCTCTTTATATATATGTGCTATGAAGGTCCATTGCCTGCAACGTCGCTTATTTTAGGTATATTTATTTAAAGACAGTGTTATTCACGAATGTGTTGAGGGTTTTTGTGTTTGTTTGTTTGTTCATTAAACTTGGGGAGAATGGTGTTGTGGCCGATCGCGAGGACTGGACTTTGGGGGAGGGGAACCCTGCAGTACAGAACAAAAGGTTTCACTTCACACGAGCGCATGGCAGCCTACTCAGCACAGCACTAGACACGGAGACACGCGCAGCTGACAAGACACCACACCTTGACGCACGCGCCCCTGGACTCGCACGTGCTCCACAGCAAGCACGCCACAGGCAGCAACGATGTCGCACAATGACCCCTACAAAAATATTCATCGTCCGTCACCATCATCATCATCGTTACCCTACAGTGTTTCGTATGCTATGGATTAATTGTTCTCTTGTCCCACGCTCTCTACACAAAACGCTACGTGATGCGGTGGCCGATTCGGTCGTCTTGAGCGCGAATAATCTGAAAATCCGCGGAGGCGCTGTGCCTCTCTGAGACCGAAGTTGTTTAACCAGGGTGAGAAGTCACGAGAAACCAGGATAAGAGTCTCTTTTGCCAGAGAATCCTGGGTCACCAAAATGTCAAAAGCAAACAAATTAAGGTACAGTAATGAAGCAAATAGAAATCGGAGTGAAATCAGGAGTCGGTGGAGGGCTTTGTTCTGAACACGCAGCCGCCGCTTGTTGAAACCACACGGGAATTCATTGCTGGAATTAGAATTCCACATTTCTGGGAAAGGTCGACCAGTAAATGTGGTGGGGGGCTGGCAGCCATCCCCTCCATGCGTCAGACCGGCCCACTTAACTACAAACCCCGCCCACTACACAGGTAGCCCCGCCCATTGCCCTATAGCCCCGCCCACTGCCGAGGTAGCCCCGCCCATTGCCATATAGTCCCGCCCACTACTGAGGTAGCCCCGCCCATTTCCCTATAGCCCCGCCTACTCAACTACTGGCCCCGCCCACTACGCGGTCAGCCCCGCCTCTCTTTTTAAGTAGCCCCGCCCACTACTGAGGTAGCCCCGCCCATTGCCATATAGCCCCGTCCTACTCACCTACTGGCCCCGCCCACTACTGAGGTAGCCCCTCCCATTAGTTATGCAAACCGCCTTTTGCCCCACACCACGAGTCGGAGCCCTGGGGGCCAGAACGTTTTAAAACGGAGACAAAATTCACAATTTTCACAACAACAAAAGCGCTTCGAGGGGGCCAGCCTGTATGCAACCGAGAATGTGCCGGCCGAACCAGACCGTACGGTAGCCTTGCATTCAAATTTAAGTGGACACACATTCAGGTTGAGAGACGTGTATGGCCGGCGGTGCGGTACAAGGGATGGTGCATGGAACGGAGGTTTCCCGTGTCTCAAGAACAAAACCCATCGTTCGGAAGAGTTGTTCTCTTCCTACCAGGTCCGGTGTGTGAACTCGATGGCCTCAGTGCAAACACGCAGTTCAAGTGATGTCTGGGGCCACGCGTGGCTATGGCTTTTGGCTTTAACAACCTCCCTCCCTCTCTGGTAGAAGATCCAGAGTTGGGTGTTGGCTGGATCACGCAGAGACGGGCGTAAAGTTTGCAGGGTCTTTTTTTCTTCTTCTTTTGGAGGCCAAACATCAAGCACGTCGTTTGAGCGATGCCCTCTCGCATGGCAGTGTTCCCCGTACACCGCATCATTGGTCACGCGTACGAGCGCAGGGCCCTCCTTGATGAGCGGTCTTGAGACTCGCCGTGGCTCCCGTGTAGCCATTGACGCTAACGCCGCCCTCGCCGCAAGTTTTGCACAACCGCTCTGTAATGTCACTTGAAGAAAATACGGTATTTAATACCGTAACATTTACGCGGAAAAAAAAAACCACGTCGGGTTAGCGCGTCGGTCAGAGTGCGCGCCGTTCGCACATCGGAAGGTCGATGCACTACGTACCACTTCGTGGGAAAGTCCGCGGTAGTTGTTGTTCACCAACCCGCGTTGACCGTCGTGGTGAAGTATGATGGAACAAGAAACAAGACATCCATCCTTCATCCATCATTGGATTGACAAAGTTCCGTCAATTATCACGATCATAGTCTCAAGGTTTCATCAGCGGGACGTTAATGAAACGGTGCGATGGTGCCTATGTCCCGCTGCCATAGTGATTTGACCTCCTCGCGGTTTTTTTTTTATACAAGACAGGTCGCGCATTATAAATAAATACTAAAATCGGTCAAACATATCACAGCAAAACCCTCGTTAAAAAGAGCCGCGTGAGCCCCAGGGAGGCTTTTGCGGCTACATAATCGACCGTTGACACGAACACCTCTCAACGCGAACGCGGCTGGGTTCAGAACGAGAGCACCATGGCCGCTTTGAGCCCGGATCAGTGGAGGGGTCCACGTTGCCTGATTTCCACGACCACAGAGAGCCGGGTTCTGCTTGTCCAGGAACGACCCAGTCCTGGCCTCGATGCACGTACGTATGGTTTGTTGAACATCTCTCGCACCGTACGTAGCCAAAAGTGCTAATCGGAGGTGCAAGACGCAACACCAGGGACCTTGGCCCGCGTGTCCACGCTTCGCAAAGCAGTCAGCCTGGAGCCCGCCTCTGCCTCGGAGGAATTCCGTGCGTGAGCTCGGTTGGATCACCGGCACCCCCGTCGCTGGCCATGGAAACGTGTCGCGAGGGACTAGCGGACGAGTACACGACGCGTTGATGGAGCGGGGGGGGGGGGGCGAGGCGTCCATGCGGGAGACGCATCGAGGGAGAAGAGTCAATGAGGGCAGCAGCTTCTCCATCGCGTGAGCTCCTGCTGCTGCTCATGCTCACACCTCATGTGATCTGGACACATTCGTCAATAAGACCGCGTGGCCTTAAGAAAGCTAAATATACGAGGCCACGTGCCGGGCAGCAGCCCTTCCTCGTAGCACGTGGATCTGTTCGTGCGGCAGAGGAGAGATTCACAAGATCTGGACGAACGCAGCTGGCAGACCTTGGGGTCAACGGCGCCGATGAAAATATAATTTTCGTCAGAGTCTTGATGGTTTTCCTTTCTGGAAGGCTGATGCCACTTATTGATGATTATATTGATGAGTGAAGTGGTTATTCAGTATATTATTAAACAACATTTCATAATATTGATTAATCAGTATTTATGAAGAATCCTATTCATATATAATTATTTATGATTGGCGGTGGTGGCGATAATAATGACGATGATTTGTTTTCGATAAATCGCCCTTTACGCGCTTTACACGCGACAAGTAACTTTACATGACATATCATCTCAAAACATTTTAAAGGGCACCCCCAATGGTAGCTGTCCCTGTGCGGCACACGGTGACACAGAAACTGGCCTGCAACGGGCATTAGTCTGTTCATCGGGGACTCTGATTGATTTGTGTAATCGCAAAAGAGTAATTTGCGGGTGATTTCTGGTGTTGTTGCCAAATTCGGACTCATTTCGAATGACGTCTCGGGATCTGTAACGTCAACTGCGAGGCAGATGGCGCCAAGTATTTTGTGGTTCGTACCCCCGCAGTATTAACCAGGTCGGCAGCCGGGCTCGAACAACAAACCTCTGCGACCATCGTCGAACGCGCCTGCCAATGAGCTGTGTCACCGCCAGTGACAGTGATAATGACGATTAGTAATATGCATCATCGATGATGGTATTGTTGATGATGAGGATGGTGATGACGATGACGATAGCTACGGCGATGAGGTCACGTCGGCACGCTCAGTGACGAGCACAGCGCAGCACTCAGTCGAGCCGCGAGTTCCTAACTCCTAGATTCTGGCCTGGAACATTGGGAGGTCACGGGTTGGATTTTGGCCTACGGACTCGCTTCGTGATCACGACTGCTGTCCTTCCATAACTCGCAAACGATCCGGCGCTCCGTTGCGTCATCCGCACGGGAGGGGCAACCGTGCTGGCTGGGTACACGAATCGGGCTGCTCTCGCGTGACTAACGCATTTCTCCCTTGGCCAAGCGACCCGACACGGATGGGCAGCACGAAACATTTCCATTGCGAGATCCCACCAGCGAAACACTCGCTCCGCGTAAACGGCTTCCACCTTGTCAGCCTTTGCTAGGTCTTCCCGGATGGTTGCGGCCGCTACTGGATGAGGCTAACGTTCTGATTCTGCTGCTGCTGTTGCTGCCCGCATTCGAGGTCCGGCCACATCTGCTCCCCGAGAGGGATGTGCACGGACTCGGCGGTGCTCCGGTAGTGCACGCCGGCTGCCGAGCCTCCGACCGGGCTGGCTCTGCTTGGCACGGTGAACACCCCGCACGCCCCCACGACCTGCTGCTGCTGCCCCACTCCTCCCATCGACGCCGCGTCCCCATCCCCCGCGTGCACCGGGCTGGGCGGCTTGGACGAGACCGGCGATGCGGTGGGGCTGAGCTGGAAGGCCGTGGTGTCCTGGATCGTGTGCTCGCTCGTCTCCAGCTCGAAGGCGCCGGCCACCCCGGACGCGGCCGAGGCGGACGCGGCGCCGGCCCGCGGGAACCCGCCGCCTCCCCGCGCTCCCCCGCCGGCCTTCGACGCCGCTTTCTTGCGCCGCGCGGCTCCCGGCGCGGAGAAACCGCCCGGCCTCCTGCTGCACACGCAGCACGCGCCGAAGAAGAGGAGCGCGAGGGCGAGGAGCACGGGCCCGATGATGATGGGCGGGTTGCTGCCCGGCGCGAACGAGCCGAAGGCGAACACGCCGACCAGCGTGATGTTGATGCCGGCCAGCATGACGCAGAGGCCGCACGCGCAGCACAGCGCCGGCGAGGGCATTCCGTGGCCGCGGGAGCGACGAGACTTCTCCTTGCCCGGCGGCATGGCCCGCTGTCTCGCCCTTTGCACGGCAAGCCTCGGCTTCGCCCTGCCCTCTAGCCGGGACACTGGGTCACCCGGACCTGCCCTTCACTCGGGGCAGCCGGGCAGCTCAGTCCGCATGGCTCCTCGGAGTGAACCTGCGAAATGCACGACAGGGAAATGGTCGTGAACGGGTAAATGCATCGCAGCTCCGCGCAGGAATTCATTATTGAACGGTCGCGCGATTTGCGCCAAGAAGAACAATACCAGCAAGTTAGGAGAATCATTGGCCGAAACGTCGCCGATTATATATGTTTGTCCTTTTAAGGCGACACGTTGTTATTGAAACACATGTTGAGTGTTTTTTGTTACTTGTGCTTGTGCACCGCTGCCAACAGCAGCAGCAGCAGTCGCATCACCAAATCATTTGTTCTCTAAGAAGGCGCGACTCGGGCCAATGGAGCCACGTGGTTGGCTGCTCCGACCCTGAGCTCCGGCGCAGTTGCACCGCCTGCACACTCGACAGCTGCGCCCCCTCACTGCCGAGCGCTGAGACTGCGAGACGAGGCTGGGAGGGCAATTAACGCGGCGACGACCGAATCCTTTGAGAAAGCGGCGCTCGCTAATTGATTAATTATCCCTTAATTGCCTCTAGGGAGAGTGTATCTGGCCGATCTCACGCCCTCCCCTCCAGCACCCCTACAGCCCCGCCCCTCACCTGCCACTCTCATCGCAAGATCAAAGCGGTGGAGATTTAGGAGCGGGATATTTCAAAGACTTTAGGCGCCCGTCACGTCCTCTCTTTGACAGCAGCAATCTCCTGTGCATAATCCTACACGTGCCAGTCACTCGGTGGCGGGGGGGTGGGAAGGATATTAATACACAGACCGACGTCACTCCACTGCTGCATGAAGGCCTCACTCACTCAGTGTCGGTCGTTATGGGAGTTCTCTGTCCATACTTTACGCTCGTAAAGGGTTGGAGTGGGAGAGAGTATCCAGGACCGGTTCAAGTCTAACTCACCGCTGATGTTAGCCGCGGCCGGGGAATCAACCTCAGGTCGCCGTGTTTACTCTTCAAATCGATGTCAGTCGATGCATCGTTATAGCCCTACTCAACGGATGCGTGGACTGTGTTCGGGGATTTGGAGGCGCGGAATGTTTCTGATGATGCTGCTGCTGCTTCTGCTGATTATTATTACATAACTCTTTATTGGCTCATAATAAAGGTGTTTGGGTTAGATCGCGTAAGTATAAATGCGTCGTAATCCTCTACCATCCGACACAGCCAATTGGTAAGGGGATTTGTCACGAAAACAAAACACCAATTAGTTACTACTTCAGCCCACCGGCGTGTTGGAGAGTCAATCCACAACATTTACAATTTGAGTACGACACATTTATACTTACGCGATCTAACCCAAACACCTTTATTATGAATAATATTGGTCGCGAAAGCTTCCGTGTCTTTACTGGATTTACACCCTCGATGAAGTTGATGATGCTGCTGTTTCTGCTGCGGATGAAAATGGTGCTCCTCGTGTTGCTGCTGGTGCTGATGATGATGCTGATGGTGGAGCTGATGATGATGCTGATGGTGGAGCTGATGATGATGCTGATGGTGGAGCTGATGATGATGCTGATGGTGGAGCTGATGATGATGCTGATGGTGGAGCTGATGATGATGCTGATGGTGGAGCTGATGATGATGATGCTGATGGTGGTGCTGATGATGCTGATGGTGGAGCTGATGATGATGATGCTGATGGTGGTGCTGATGATGCTGATGGTGGAGCTGATGATGATGCTGATGGTGGAGCTGATGATGATGATGCTGATGGTGGAGCTGATGATGATGATGCTGATGGTGGAGCTGATGATGATGATGGTGGAGCTGATGCTGATGCTGATGGTGGAGCTGATGATGATGCTGATGGTGGAGCTGATGATGATGATGGTGGAGCTGATGCTGATGCTGATGGTGGAGCTGATGATGATGCTGATGGTGGAGCTGATGATGATGATGCTGATGCTGGAGCTGATGATGACGACGACGACGAAGACCGACCGCGTGCTTGCTGAAAGAACCAGCGTCACGTGACGTTCGGTTGCACGGGTTGATGTCACAGCGCTGAGAGGCACGGGAGGAGGAGGAGGGGGGGGGTCAATTCCCCCTCCCCTTCCCTTTCGCCCCGCCCCCCTCTTAGCCCCCACCCCGTCCCCCATTCATAGCCCCCCCCCACACACTCACGTGTCCGCGAGAGGTAATCGCTCTCGCACCGCGAGTTTCACGCATGTCCGTTGTCATTATTATTAATGGGGCTGCCTTCCCTGTCTCCTTCGAACTGAGCAGCAACAGCAGGAGACGCGGGTGTCGTGGTGGTGGGGGGGGCGGGGGTGGCGGGTGGGGGTGGGGGCAGAGGGGCGTTAGGGGCGGTGGGAGTAGTCACCCCCCCCCCCAGCGATTTGCTCTGGCGGCTTAATTGCGTAATTAATTAAGAACTCGAGGATTCGTGCAGTCTGTGGCGGTTGCGTTGGGGTTGCAGAGAGCTGCCTCCAGGGAGGAGGGCGATGGAAATGTTTACTTAGAACCACCCAAAAAACCAATGAACACTATTTCGCCCCACCAATTAGCGTATTCCGACGGCTGTGGTCTTACAACGCTGCTCACAGTTCGCGTGCGTGTACGCGCACAACCAGATGCAGATTTCCCCCGTGTCGCCTGAAACAGACTGTTGGTGGCAAGTGCTGTCAGCCAGCACCTTACGAAGGCCGGCACGGCGCACGAGAGGGTCGGGTGGCCAACACCACGCCCGGCCGCTTTTGTCTCCCGAATGTTGGATGCTGAAACATCGCACCAGCTACTCCTTGGAAACATGAGTCAACCGAGGTGAGGCCCAGGACCGCTTGAAATATTCGCCACTAAATTTTGGCCGTGAGCGGAGATCGACCGCGTGTCTCCGGGGTCGCAGCGCAGTGCACGAACCACTGCATCACCGCTCCGTTTAACTCTCCAATACACTGGTGGGCTCAAGTAGTAACAAATTGGCGTTTTGTGCACGTGACAAATCCCTTACTAATTAGCTGTGTCGGGTGGTGGAGGGTTACGACACATACTTACGCGATCTAACCCAAAAACCTTTATTATGCCTTATCGCTCCCCACACACGCCGACATACACGTGCGCGTTCTGATGCTGTACGCACGTGCGCGCGCGTGTGTGTGTGAACACCCTCGTGTTGATCACAGGGGCTGTTCGACCATACTTCGCCACGCTCGTCAGCGCGGATTGGTGACTGGGGGAGGGTTGAGACCCATGACCCACATTCAAGGCCACTTCGCCACTGATGTGAGCCGCGTGCGGGAATCCAACTCGGGTGTGGCCGCTTGAAAAGCCTCTTCACCATATCTGCATTGAATCTCCAGAGCCGAAGAGGGCTGGGACCGTCAACTTAGTGACTCCCTGGAACCTGGAAGAATGACGCTGTGGGCACGAGGGTGGGGGCTCTGGTGAGTTGATGGGCGGGGGAGGGTGGGGGTAACGCATCAAGGGGAGGAGAGAGAGAGGTGGGGGGGGGCGAGGTCAGAACTCTGCTAATTGACGCAATCTGAGTGCCTTCATTTACTTCGCGGACACGATGCGCCCTCAATATATGTTGGGTGGTGGTGGTGGTGATGATGATTATGATGAGCGGGGTTGTCGTTGCTTTGACTGCAGCCGAATAATGATTGGGCCAGAGCAGACATGGGTACCGTGGATCTGCAATATTTTGCTGTTTTTTCTTGGATTTTTTGTTTGCACTTAGTCACATATTCACTTTAAAATGTTTTTTGTTCATGTTTTTTGTTTGTTGCGGTTGCACCCGATTCAAGAGCCGAATGGCTCACAGGGCTATACCTAATCAATGAACTTGAACTTGAACGTGGCTAATGAGAAAAGTGAATGACCTGTGGCCCTTTCGTCTGCAGTGTAACGCCACAATTGGCCACGCAAGAAAAATTGGAACCGCTACAGCGATGCCACCTGGGCCCGTGGACTCATGAGGCGAGAGGAAGCCCGGCTATGCGCATTTTGATTGGGTTATACACTGCACTACGAGCTCCACATAGAAAGGCGAAAATCCCCCGGATAGCTTTTAACAGACTGGGCAAGTGCACGGATATATGAAGGCCTTGACAGGGCTACACACCAGGGGATGGGCGGCCAGCACCACGCCCGGGCCGCCTGTCTCTCCCCAGTGCTGGTGTTTACACACCGCACCAGATACTCATTTGAGGCTGAGTCGACCTAGGGGAAGCCCAGCACCGGATCAGATATTCGTCACTGATGTTGGCTGTGAGCGGGAATCGAACTCGAGTCGCCGGGTATGTAGCGCAGTGCGCTATCCTCTACACTATCGCTCAGCACGCATGCTATGTTAACAACAGCCGCCGTTCGCCACTAAGTGTCGGTGACGTCATAACGATGATTGTGCCAGGCTAGGTGCACGTACGGTGCGAAAAAAGTTCAACGTCGTACAAAGATCCCCCGTATAGCCTTCAACAGACTGTAGGGGCAAGTGCTGTTAGCGATCACCTATGAAGGCCGGAACGGTACACGAGGAGGTGGGTGGCCAGCACCACGCCCGACCGCCTTTGTCTCCCTAGTGGCACAGTGTTTACACACCGCACCAGGTACTCATTTGAGGCTGAGTCGACCTAGGGGAGGCCCGAGACCGGTTCAGATAATCGTCACTGGTGTTGGCCGTGAGCTAACCGCTACACTAGCGCTCCCTCACACACACACACACTAACACACTCAACTACATTCGAAATACGCTCACGCGTGTGCACACCTGCATAACGATTGCGTCGTCCAAGTGATCTGTCACGTTCTCAAGCTGCTACACACCTGTGTGTGTGCGCCTAGTCACAGCACATGTCCGCTCACAGTACACTTATGTATGCACACAAACACCCCTTGGGGCCCACACAGTGCACCGCTCCCATGGGTTCACAGAGTACACAACAGAAGGCTCACATCTGTGTGCACACGTTCGCATGTGACGCGCGCGCACGCGCGTGTGATCATAAATGCATGAGCTGATGCGACGACTGACGAACACACACGGACACACACACACGCGCACACACACATACACTAACAAAGATTCCCCGTGTGGCCCAATCGGTGTTCGCGAGCACCTATTAAGGCCGGAACGTCGCAGGAGTAAGCTCTATCGCATCACACGCGACCGCCTCTGTCTCCCGAGCAGTGATGTTTGCACCCGCATAACAAACCAATTGAAGACCGAGTCGACATTCGGGGAAGGCAAAGCACCGGTTGGGATATCACTCGCCACCGATGTTTGGCGGTGTCCGGGAATTGAACTCGGGTCGCCGGGTTCATAGCGCAGTGAGCTCAGCACTGCGACACCGCTAATCACGACACGCACGCACACGGCGCGCGCGTTCTCGTCATCGCCGTCACCATCATCGTGAGCACGCGCGCGTGTACTCACCTGCCGGTGTGCGCCCTCGTTGTTCTGCCTCGTGGATGGGTCAAAGAGGGCCGCTCCTCTCCTCTCTGCCCTCTCCACCGCCGTCTTCTCGAGCCCTCCTCAAAAGGCGGCTACCGCCGGCGGGAATCGGGACCGCGCACACGCACGCGCTTCGCGTTGGTTGCGGCGGTGGTGGTGTTGGTGGTGCTGGTTGTTGTTGTTGCCTGCCGCTGGTTGTTATGATGTAAGAGACGCAAGCCGAAGCGCCCGGGAATGGGGTTGTGCGTCGTAGTCGCCGTCGTTCACCGTTGACAAACGCTGGTCGTAGATCTACCACCGCTTCTCATCCGCACGTCGCTTCCTCCTCGTCGTCGTCGTCGTCCTCATCCGCCCCTCTGCTCCCTGTCTGCCCGTCTCCTCCACCACGCGCGTCCCGGACAGACGGGCAGGCGGAGGGGGGTGAGTCGAGAGAGAGGGGGGGGGGGTGTAGATTAAAGGGGAGGATGCAGCCAACATACACTCACACACACGGCAAAATCACGAGGCAGCTTGCACACGCACACACTCACACACACACGGCAACACCACGATCTTCTAAATGTGCATGGGCGGACGCGTGTGTGTGTTCCTAATGTCAGCTGCACATAGCATCAAGAGAGTATGTGCAGCATGTAAATCGTGTGTGTGTGTGTTGCATGTGGCGCGTGTGTGTTCCTAATGTCAGCTGCACATAGCATCAAGAGAGTATGTGCAGCATGTACACCGTGTGTGTGTGTTGCATGTGGCGTGTGTGTGTTCCTAATGTCAGCTGCACATAGCATCAAGAGAGTATGTGCAGCATGTACACCGTGTGTGTGTGTGTGTTGCATCTGTCGTGTGAGTGTTCCATGCAGTGCTGTAGGTGTGTTCGTGCCTTGCCTGTGAATTAACGCACGACGCACATGCAGCTTTAAATAATTCATACACGTATAATTGAGACTGCGATTTGTTTAATCTCGGGCTTCTCGCCGTTTCCCATCGAGCCGAGGGTACGGAGAAGGTTATTTGTGTCCTCGCGATCCTCGTGCGCGTGTGCGCGTGCGTGATTCCATTGGGGGTCGCTGTGGTGAGAGTGCTCGGCTCACACTCGCAAGGTGTCGCGAGGTCTCTTCCACGATTCCCAAGTCGCCACTGCCGAGTCACCGTCCATCCTCGTTCACGTCTCATTTGGGAAGCTAAGCAATAGTGATAGGGTTTTACCCTTTCAACTGGTACAAAAACTGACACCTTTATACAAGGCATCATGTTTGCAATAACCACAACACAAGCAGTCAAAATGTTGATAGGTCCACACTCGATACAGCTTTTCTTAAAGCCTAGTCTCCATTGGTGTTGGACCAGATGACGCCAAAAGGCGTGATGGCTTGTATTAAGGTGTCAGTTTTTGTACCAGTTGAAAGGGTAAACACCTATCACTATATTTTGCCACTGGTAAAGGAGGTCTCATAGTGAAGCTAAGAAAGTTGACATTGGCCTGCATTTGGCTGTGGGAGACCAGCTGAGAGAGAGAGAGAAAACGAGTTGTTGTTGTTGGCTTGAGCTCCGATGTGACCAGGAGATGTGAGTAGAGCACACACAGGGCCATCCAGTGTGACCAGGAGATGTGAGTAGAGCACACAGGACCGTCCAGTGTGACCAGGAGGTGTGAGTAGAGCACACAGGGCTGTCCAGTGTGACCAGGAGATGTGAGTAGAGCACACAGGGCTGTCCAGTGTGACCAGGAGATGTGAGTAGAGCACACAGGGCCCTCCAGTGTGATCAGGAGATGTGAGTAGAGCACACAGGGCTGTCCAGTGTGACCAGGAGGTGTGAGTAGAGCACACAGGACCGTCCAGTGTGACCAGGAGGTGTGAGTAGAGCACACAGGGCTGTCCAGTGTGACCAGGAGGTGTGAGTAGAGCACACAGGACCGTCCAGTGTGACCAGGAGGTGTGAGTAGAGCACACAGGGCCGTCCAGTGTGACCAGGAGATGTGAGTACAGCACACAGGGTCGTCCAGTGTGGCCAGGAGATGTGAGTAGAGCACACAGGGTCGTCCAGTGTGACCAGGAGATGTGAGTAGAGCACACAGGACCGTCCAGTGTGACCAGGAGGTGTGAATAGAGCACACAGGGCTGTCCAGTGTGACCAGGAGATGTGAGTACAGCACACAGGGTCGTCCAGTGTGACCAGGAGATGTGAGTAGAGCACACAGGGCTGTCCAGTGTGACCAGGAGATGTGAGTACAGCACACAGGGCTGTCCAGTGTGACCAGGAGATGTGAGTACAGCACACAGGGCTGTCCAGTGTGACCAGGAGGTGTGAGTAGAGCACACAGGGCTATCCAGTGTGACCAGGAGATGTGAGTAGAGCACACAGGGCTGTCCAGTGTGACCAGGAGATGTGAGTAGAGCACACAGGGCTGTCCAGTGTGACCAGGAGATGTGAGTAGAGCACACAGGGCTGTCCAGTGTGACCAGGAGATGTGAGTACAGCACACAGGGCTGTCCAGTGTGACCAGGAGATGTGAGTAGAGCACACAGGGCTGTCCAGTGTGACCAGGAGATGTGAGTAGAGCACACAGGGCTGTCCAGTGTGACCAGGAGGTGTGAGTACAGCACACAGGGCTGTCCAGTGTGACCAGGAGATGTGAGTAGAGCACACAGGGCAATCCAGTGTGACCAGAAGATGTGAGTAGAGCACACAGGGCTGTCCAGTGTGACCAGGAGATGTGAGTAGAGCACACAAGGTCGTCCAGTGTGACCAGGAGATGTGAGTAGAGCACACAGGGCCCTCCAGTGTGACCAGGAGATGTGAGTAGAGCACACAGGGCTGTCCAGTGTGACCAGGAGATGTGAGTAGAGCACACAGGGCTGTCCAGTGTGACCAGGAGATGTGAGTAGAGCACACAGGGCTGTCCAGTGTGACCAGGAGATGTGAGTAGAGCACACATGGCTGTCCAGTGTGACCAGAAGATGTGAGTAGAGCACACAGGGCTGTCCAGTGTGACCAGGAGATGTGAGTACAGCACACAGGGTCGGATTGAGGCACGGAGCTTCAGGGGCTGCAGCCCAGGGAGCATCCGCCAGCTGGAGCGCCTCCAGAGATTCAGTGAAAAGTTATTTCAGTTATGAATGCTGAATTGTACAGTATTTGTTAGCCTTGTAAAAATAAAATTGTTTTACTTTTTTTCCTTTTGAAAATATTACTGGGAGCCTCACAGTACCTGTAGCACAGGGGCCTACACAATCTTAATCCGGCCCTGACAGCACCGGATTATTGAATCCATCTGCGCGTAGGTTTTGGCTGCTATTTACTCCCATCCGTGAGGTTTTTCTCCAGGTATTTCCCACACGAAGCCATGCCCCTTTCTAAAGGATGTTGCCAACGATGTCACCTGCAGCACAGAGGTCGGCTACCAAAATAATAGACACAATTTTTTTTTTTAGAATTCAGCCTCAACCTCAATATCTCAAGAGCCGCAATGCATGTTAATACGAGACGGTGGTGATGCTTAATAAATAACATCACGAAGCATTCCGTCACAGCAAAATTGCTGTATCAAGTAAAGAGAAGTCCAGAGAGAACCAGGCTCCCCCCCCCCCTTAACTAGTATGTAAGGTCGTATCTCTTGCGACTTCTCTTCACTTGATACAGCTATTTTGCTGTGACGGTTTCACCTGAAGACGGAAGCTTGTGTTGCCTCCGAAACGTCGTGATTTCATTTATTTGTTTTCTTTTAACCTACGTGACTTTACCGAAAAAAACAAAGAGTATGTCATGAAAATGTTACATTTACGCCGTTGATTCCGAGCCGCTAAGTGAGATGAATGCCGCCCGATTAATTGAGTCGGCGGAGACACTTCAGTCTTCAACTGTGGGAGATCGCTTCTTCTTATCTGCTGCTCTTAACGTCTGGAATCCTCCTCGCTCCTTCGTTGTCTGCATCTCAATTCGTTGTTTTAATGGCTCTGTCATCGCCAAATATGAGATGGAAAATCCTTTCTCCGTTGAAATATTTATGCAATTATTTCTGCAATAGAATGTTTTTTAAATCAACGTTTAATGTTGATGTGGGTAACTCTAGTGAAAGCGTGTCTCCTGGTCTGACTCCCCTTCCTAGTACGTATTGTGTTACTTTGTTCATGTAACCTTAGTATACATGTTCCATTTGTCTAAATTAGTTTCATTATAAATACGTCTTCTGGGATAACCGCCTCAATACCCACGGTGTAAAATTAACTTAATTGTCTAAAACAGATCGGCATAAGGGAATGTGGTCTTCATTAGGCAGTTTTTTTTCTCCTTCCAGAATCTGATTGGCAGTGCGGATGTGGCCCGTGGTAGAGAAACCTTTCTTAAACCTAATTTCATCACGTGATTCGTTGACCTGTTCAGTCATCGATTGGCCTGTTTCCAACGATCATGAACAATCCAACCACGTGAGATAGCAGGCAAACGGGTCTCTAATTCTTAAAGTCATTGTTATCACGCTTTCTGAGAGACAAAATTATGTAGGCATAAATTTTTTTTCATTGAAGTACAGTCATTCATTTCTGTCCAAACATTTAATTTAATAGAAACGGTGATACAGCTGCTCACCCCGAGCTATAAATGATTTGATAGTTGCATTATCTCTGTACTGTTCGCCTGTCGGCGTTCTCTGGTCTGACACTGGTGAGACTCGGTCATAAAGAAGGCTGTCTCTGGCGTAGGCCAATCAGTTCAGTTTCAAAGACAATGCATCATATATTCAGAGCATGTTTACATGTTCACCACAAGTACGTGTGGTTAATGCAGACTTGATTCTTTGCAAAAGGTTTCTATTTGGTCTTGATTTGAAGCTTTCGTGACTGCAGGAATCCATCGTCTTTGGTTCTTTCGGTAAAGGCACATAGGTAGAAAAAATAAAAGCAAAAATAATATTTCACGACGTTTCGATCGCAACACAAGCGGTCGTCCTCAGGTGGGAAAAAATTATCCAGCAGTGGAACTCCACTGCTGGATTATTGTTCTATTAATATTTTTTCTACCTACGTGACTTCACCGAAAGAACTAAAGACTATCTATTTGGTGTTTGAACATCTTAACACCTGTTTTATTGCCAGAAAGGGTCAAACCTAATGTAATTTTTTCATACTTTCATACTGACAAAATAGCCCCATTATAGAAACGGACTATTGCGATATAGAAGAACGCAATAAATGAGAGAATACAAAGTAGGGCTCAAGATAAATGACATGCGTTGAATGCTGCCGTGCAATTGACTCGCCTACATGTTAGTCTGTGTGTTCACTCAGTTTTGGCTTTCACTTCTATGACCTATATCACCCGTTCAAAAACACACACACACACAAAAACGGAAAATTGATGTCTGAATGGGTTCTCGTCCGATAATATCAAGTCAATCACTCAGCCAATCAAAATCAGTTGATCGAATCACCGCGGGGGAGAATGGGTTTGTTCCATCTCCTAATCGTTGTCTCTGACTGCGTGAGGTTGGACCACGCTACCGCACAGGGCGGCAGATTGGCACGGGGCCACACGCGGGCGTCGTCACGCCGCATGCCCGGCACAATGAGGGCCGCTCGCCTTATTCTCGAGCCAGCTCGCACGAGCAGCCCAGCAGGCGTTCTTCACGCCAATAAAGAATGATTCTGTGGGCTTTCACAACTGTGAACAATGCTTCACGGACACACCGAAGAAGTGCGCGCGCGCGTATGTGTGTGTGTCTGTGTTTCGCACATGCGCCAACGTTTTCAACACAATATTCAAACGTTTGTTTCTATTCATCTGAGCGGTTCAAGGGAGTTCATAATGGCCGTGTCAGGGACACGGACTGAGCCGCCAATGCTGCGATTCTGTCGTTAGAATTCTGGTTGAATCTGCCCGTGATTAAACTCTCAATTGTAGGCTTAGAGTAGTTGATGATCTCAACCAGGTTACCAGTAGCTCCACACACCAAAAAAAACACACATTTCAATCTGGAGTGTCACTCACTTCGGCTGAATATCGAGTTTGAGAATTACACAATGGTAT